AAAGGTTTCGTTACAAAATATGAAGCCTTTCTGCATTCATAGAAAACCATTGTGCAGTGTTCTACAGCTCTATGTATTGACGAAACTTTTTTCGATATACAAAATTTGAAAAGATTTTGCAGGCGATGGTTTGGACCACACATCTGCGAATAAATCCTTTCTAGGTTTCGCAAATTTTCAAAGACATTTTCTCGGCATGTTGCCATGCTTCTAAGCTATTTGGCAACTACGAAGCCTTCTCAATTGATTTGATCACGCAACCCAACACGCTCTACCTGATCATCATGAACAAAGAAAAATAAACTCCACCGAATCTTTTCATTTATGAACATCATACATATAGTGTAAGTATGATAAATATCGAATGCCTCTCTAGAAACAACATGAGCACCTAACATTTTAGCTTCGCTTGTTGGGCACTAAGAGCTTTCATCGGACTCAGATGTGTGCCATCTTTTCACTTATGGTGTTACACACTTCCATTGTAAGATGTGAGCTGAAATATTTCTTCCGTAGTCCAGTTACATTTCAAATCTGCCGACGATTTTTGAGAGGATTACTTAATACATATACCACGTAAAACGTCATTCGAGAACAAATTTTAAATTCCGACAGTTAAGTTTGGAATACTGAAGTCAATCTATATGGATCTACCGCGTTATCGAGTTTTGTTCAGATGGCATCAATAGGCAAAAACTTCAATTTTACATTCGTGTCACCATCAATAGACTTGAATCATTTCCAGAGGAAACCTCTGTTATCATCGTATTTTATGTACCACTTTTAACAGACATGCATCGAGAGCCCAGAGTTTTGGTCTAAACTTTTGCATGTAATTTATTCTTAAATATAACTAACTAGCGGGAATACCCGCTGCAAACGATGGAACATTTTAATCGGGTTTTATCCTCAAGATCGTACCCTCACCCACCCTCAAGTGACAAAAAGATCACGTAAGTGAAATTTCACCCAAATGATTGCCTTCAGTCTTCTGATCGTGTGAATAGTCGTCAGCTTATTTAGATAGGAAAGCTATTGATATGAAACGATAAATGTTAGAATCGTGACAAATTCGCTTATTTTTTCAACCATTAAGAAAAATCTCACTTTTCTATGACTTGGATGAAATTTCATCCAGATAATCCCACCCAATCTCCATCTGAGAAACTAACTTCATGTTGATGTTACTATGAACCTACAGAAGCACCGTAGAAAGCTTAGCGACCATAGATATTCCCTGAACGGATTGCACAGCGAATAGACAGTCAATCAAACTTTCTTCTTTATATATATGGGTGTATCCACCAGGAATCGCCAGATCCATTCGGCGATCTCGTTCGATTTTGATGAAACTTCCAGGATTTGTAGACCTTTGAGTGGTAGTAACTTTGGCGATGAAAATTTTTCAAGTGAAAAACAATCGAAATATGTAACTTTATAAGCTACGGATAATAACGATGGGACTGCAGGTAGTTTTAAAATGACGGGATTACATTTTAGAGATAGTGTAGATGAATATTTTTTACGAAAAATCAATTTATCATGCTTGGACTGTTTGTTTTCCTCGCGGTTAAAGTCCGAAAAACAACAGGCTATCACACATTAAAAGGCATCACCAGGTCTACTGAACTGCCGTTGCAGAATTTCTCGTTCATTCCACTTTTGATGAAAACTCAGAATTCTCCTATGAATCCTCTGAAGAACCAAGCGGTGTTCCAAAGTTCAGATGCTGCTGATGCAGATTTTTACGAGGATTCAGAAATATCATATTGGTTATTAGATTTGATTCGGTTTTCATACAGAAAAATCAATTTGAGGGTGAAATAAGTCAAAAAAATGTTAGTAGTATTTTTTACTATATATCAGGAAGACAAACGTAAAATCGCAACTATTTACTACCAAAATGATCAGCATCGAGAACTTAACAAACGCTGAAAGTTTCATTAAATTCGGAAAAATTTTCCCGAAGGGCTGGAGATTTCTGGTGGAAACATCCATACATAGATTAGCTATTATCTATGAGTTGCGTAGCGCTGAGCAGTGTGAATTTCCAAAACAGCAGTCTGCTGAGCACTACGACAGGGTGCTCAGCGGTATGAATGTTGAGAAATCCCATACCGTCGAGCAGTGCTGGGCCAACACTGCATCTGATACATAATAACTAATTAGTCACATTTAACAATAGATTAGATTTAAAAGTATGGGCCAAAACTCCTTGGACTGAAACTCATGTAAATTCATCTGTTTACCATAGAACGACATTTTGATATATGTAAATAATTTCTCTGGTTACACTTCGACACATTCCTCTTTTATTAAATCTTCAATCGCGTGTCAAACAATCATGAGAATCTATCATTGTATATTAAATTGCGTAGCCTCTTTGTCGAAGACGGATACATGTGTTATAGTTACACAAAGTACGCATTAAATTCTGTGCTACTCAGTATTTTAACTACAAACCTATCACTAACAAGTTAAAAGTGTCAATAACTTGTTGCAATCTAATTTGTGAGTGATGTTTCAAGAAGTTCTTTACAATAATACGCTTGAAACACTAATCCGAGTGTATACATGCAGAGACAACGTGAAAGAAGAGGTTGGATACATGGGATTACGTGAGAAGATATAGAAACTTATTTTTTTACGTAGTGTCTTCATGTACAAACCCAGAGAAATTTTGTATTGTTCACAGTGAAGTTTACTAATTTTTGAGTACTATTTCTTATAAATCCAGTGTCGTTCGACGGGAATATCGTAATAAGCTAGAAAGAAGTGTTAAGGATGACTATCAACAGCTCTTGAATAGTAAATCATGGGAAAATACTTTTTTTGTATAGAAAAGGTACGATGTAACAGAAGAAATTCAGCAATACGTTCCCGCGTCATGAAAAATGATTGCACAATAGAGCTTCTTCTGACGATTTCTACCGAAAGCGAGAAGAATAGGCTATCGGCGCTTCGCCTTAATTTATTTCCTCTTCTCGAACATCGTATTACTTCTATATAAAATCCACACCGATCTACGTGCACATAATATTAGTGTGAGATAATAAAATCCCCAGAGCGACAAACAACCGAATAATGTTGAGGGTTGCGGCAATACCAGTACAATTTGTACTCTGATTCACTCTATGAACAAAGGTAATACTTGTCACTTATTGCCCGTAATCACCGGGGAAAACACCAAAATATCGCAATATCTATTATCATGTGCTGAGAGCTCGAGAAAATTTGTATTTAGTTAGCATCCTCTGTGTGCCAAGAACGTATTGGAGTCTGGAAAATCTGGAATTGTTTTACGTCTCAGTATGACTGAATATAGTTATACTCAGGTTTACATAAGAAAATCTGAAGTTAGTAGGAAGATTCTTCTTCATCTCTGAACCATTTCACTAATTTATAATAAAGATTGGTGTTCTTAGTAAAGTTACTATTGAGCGCTTGGTAAAATGATTCTGTAAAATAAAGTTGATAAATTTGAAACTGCCGGATTCAAAGAAGAGAACACACAATTAGGTTGGGCATGGACGACATTTGAATACGGGTCAGAGAAAGATGAAAGAAATGAAGGTGCTTATGTTGTTTATTTCAAGGGCTATGATTGTTTCCAGCTTCTCAATAGTATGCAATATAAAATCCGACAGAATAACTGTCGTTGTAATCTTTGGGATGGTGCAGTCAAAAGTTTGCACTGCAAATAACTGGTGTATGAGCTAAGTGGATTACACTGAGAAGTAATCGATTCTGCCTGCTTCAGACTCACTGTATGATCAGTACATGGGAACACATAATTATCGAATAGAACGTTGTGTTCTAAAAATAATTTTTGATAAAACTCACAGTACAATTTTTCTCTGTATCTGCGCATCTCTGTATATTAGTATTTTAGTTACCGTAGACTCTAGTTGAGCGAAATATGTGTATGAGTCACTTCACGAGAGCAACGAACAGTCGTGCACAATAAGAGATCCTAAACTTTCACCATCTTCCTGTGCTAATCCTTCGATGAATAGTGTTTAGGAAAAGGTTCAAGCTAGTTTTAAAGGAACTACCATCGTTTTACTTGACAGATTTTGAAAATAAGTTTGCTGTAGATCAGCTTGAGAGAATTTTACGAAACTTCTTCTGCGAAGACCTTCTATCAAATACCATCAGAAAGTGGCAGGATATTTTTTGGATCTTCAACTGAACGATACTGGGTATGCGTTTTGCGTAACGCCTTGCCCCAACTGCTCTAAGTATTAGTGGGAAAGCAGACAAGCGTTGAGGAACGAATCCCAGCTTGTAAGTGGACCGTGTGCTTTCACGGCACAGCGAAAAAAGTTAGCGATAAAAAGGCTATAAATTTGCATACAGTCGAAAAATTGCCCATCTGACTTCAGAGAGCCTATTTGATGGAAAACCCGTTTTCAGAATGTAAGCATCTCAATCGGACAACATACGTCTGACAAAACTAAAAACTTGGTTTTATGCATAAAATAACGTGCACTATCAGATGATGTGTGTTCCACACAAAATTGAGAAACTTATTGAGTAGCCGTCTATGGTAGTCGGTTATGTCTCACATGCGGTGACTCATATGTACACTTACGATTGTGCTCTATAAAATCAAAGTTATATATATACTAATTGTTGACTTCAAGGTAAGAACCTTCGAGATTACGTATTTTGCGCTCAAATCGATATGTAAGATGAATCCAGCGTAAGGAAAGAAAATACAATCGTCCTATGAATACTTTGTTTCCATATTTATAACCCACGTTGTGTATATCTGCTAAAGTTATGAAAATATTTTGAATTCTGCTAAGCTTTTTCATTAACCCACACCATAAACATCAAGCAAAAGAAACGGACGGAGTGTTACATGCCGACTTTATCCTTCAGCTAACTACGAAAGCATATGATATTCTCTCTTACTTGAAGATTCTAACGTATACTAAATATATCGAACTGAAATAAATAGACACAGTTTCTGTATCAGTGAGAAGCTAACACCACTAAGCTAGCATCGTGAAACAAAAAAAGGAGTTATACAAAACCGTATGCTCAAATGAATTCCCCTCCATCAAAACGAGATGGTCCAACGCAGAATTTGACTCTGCATCGAATGGTGATACTTGTATTGACAGAAAAACGATTAGAAAAATTTTATGTAGATTTTTTCTTTCTACACACAAATGTATAGGAAGATTTATATAGCATTTTTCCAAT